ACTTTGGCGGTTTGTCGGTCGCCCGGACGCTGCCCAGGTCGTGCCACCGAAGAGTGGTGGTGAGCCGGTGGCGGCGCCGACGATGGCTGTGCCCATAATGGGGCCTCGCCCCAAGTGGGGCCACGAGGCGGTGGGGGCGGACGCGGAACGCCCGAAGGCGCCAGTGGAGGCAAAGGCGGCGGAGGTGGAACGCCCGAAGGCGCCAGTGGCAAAGGCGGCGGAGGAGGGACGCCCGAAGGCGCCGGTGGAGGCAAAGAGGGCGGAGGTGGGATGCCCCAAGGCGCCGGTGGAGGCAAAGAGGGTGGAGGTGGGATGCCCGAAGGCGCCAGTGGCAAAGGCGGCGGAGGAGGGACGCCCGAAGGCGCCGGTGGAGGCAAAGAGGGCGGAGGTGGGATGCCCGAAGGCGCCGGTGGAGGCAAAGAGGGCGGAGGTGGCATGCCCGAAGACGCCGGTGGAGGCAAAGAGGGCGGAGGTGGGATGCCCGAAGGTGGAGGCGTCAAAGGCGGCGGAGGTGGGACGCCCGAAGGCGGAGGAGGGACGCCCGAAGGTGCCGGCGGAGGCAAAGAGGGCGGAGGTGGGACGCCCGAAACCGTCTCCAGCAAAGGCGGAGGTGAAGGCGGCGGTGGCAGCGGAGGTGGTGGTGGTGGAGGATGCGGAGGGCGTGGCAAAGGCGGTGGCGCCGGTGCTGAAGGCGGCGAAGCCGGTGCTGGAGATGTCTGCTGTTGGCGAGTCCATGCAGAGCGTCCTCGCTGCTTGTTCCGATTCAGATTTTCCTGCCCTTTAGGCCTAGGCCCTTTAGGCCCTTAGGCCCTTTAGGCTCGTTTAAGTTTAGGTAACTTAAGTCGTTAAATTTAGGCCTTAGGCCTTAGGCCCTAGCCCTTGGCCTTAGCCAACCTTAAGCTTGCTTAAACCTTAAGCTTTAAGCCTGAGGCTCCTAGGCCCTAGTCTTGGTCAAAGATCTGCCGATTTTCCAGGTCTTGGACCCCGAGGCTGCAGCGAGTTCCGCTGGGGATGCAGCCCAATCGCACACTATTTGGATGGACTCTTTCTTTTCGTTAGGGTTCTGGTTTTGAAGTTTTAAGTTTAGTGGTTAACTTACGGGTAGATTGGTTGTGACAGCTCAGGCCACGTTGCCGAAAGGCTGGACGTATCACATCGCGGCAGATGCACGGGGGTACTACGTCCACGCTGGGATGGCGCTGACTACGCATCTCCGGCCGTCCCCGTGGAAGCGCTGGCGTGCCTTGTCATCCGACGGCGACATGTCTCATTCAGTCCAGGGTTGGGTTTGGGTGTTAACGAAACTCAGGGCCTCTACCTTAGGCCCTTAGCCTAGGCCTTAGGCCTTAGGCCTTAGCCGCCTTGCCGCCTCAGCCTGAACCTTAGCCTTAAGCCTTAAGCGCCTTAAGTCTTAAGTGCCTTAACCTTGTTGCCCTGAAAGGCAAGGGCATCAGAACGTTTTACCACAACGAGTTCACTGGGGAGACTTCCGATACCATGCCTGCTGGAGTGAGAGACATGTCATCCTTGGCAAAGGCTGCTTCTGCTAAGCCGAAGGGGGCTGCGGCTCGGGATTCCAGTTCTTCCTCGTCTTCGAGCTCTGACAAGCGGCGGGCTCTCAAGGCGATGAAGGACAAGATCAAAAGGAAGGTTGAGAAGAAGATGGAAAAGGAGGAAGAAGATAAGAAGAGGAAGCGGGTGGAGAAAGCTAAGGCCACTCGCGAGGCCAACAAGCGCCGCAAGGAGGAGGAGCACGAGGAGGCGGATTGAAAAAAAGCTTGTGCTTCGCTGTTTGGCCCCGATGCACCCACTGAAGTCCAGCTGCTCAACCCATGCATTTGCCCGCTCGCCCAGGCCGGTCTGTGGCATTTTTCATCGATGAGCCTGGGCCTCACTTCTCTTGCCGCCGACATTTCGCCATTGACATGACAATGCCATTTGCCAGCCGCTGCTGTCTTGTGCGTCCATGTCAGTTTGTGGATTGTCCTACCCAGTGTTAGTTGCAAGCTGTTTGACATGTACGGCCCAACCAGGCCCCTGCCGCCTTTGACCCCATCGGTGGCTTCTCGGAGGCTGGTTCGCTTTACGGCTGCGGCTTAAGGCTTAAGGCTTCAAAGGCTTAGCAATTATAGAGTCAGGGACCCAGGGACTAATGATAGGTGCGGGGGTTCTCGGGATTTTCTTGTGGGTAATGTTGACCCCTGATTAATAAACCCCCCCCCCGCCCCCCCCCCCTCAAGGTTGTCAAGGTCGCAGGCCCCCCACAGGATCACAGACCCCCAAATAATCCCGTGAAGCCAAATTGCAGTAAACAGTGGTGCTAGTAGTAGTAGTCGTAGTAGCAGCAGTACTAGCAGTGGCAGTAGCAGCAGCAGTAGCAGTAGCAGTGCCACAGGAGTTTGATTAATCGTGGGACGTTGATTAATCGTGGGTGACACACGATTGCTGGGGATAGCTTTATAAGAATCTTATATGGCACGTCTGAGGTGTGGTCCAGGAATTATTTGGGTCATTATATTGTCTATTTTTTGTCATTGGCGTTTGTCGTTTTGTTTGTGATGGCATTTTCCAATTGTCATTTAGGTTGTCATTTCTGGGTCGTTTTTTTGTCGTTTTGTTGTCATCTCGTGGTGCTTGTGTTTGAGGGTTTGGGGATAACTTGTTGTGTACTTTTGTAGTATTCTCATGTGCAGTCACAGGTCTGGGGCCCTGAGTAGCTCGTAGTTGTAGCCAGGGACTTCCGAAAACATGGATGTTGCTCAGAAAGCTTGAGATTTCGCACACTGTGTAAGAATGTAGGGCAGAGGGCCCAGGACGGTCATACGCTTTGTATACGCGACGCACTACCTTGGGTTTTGATCCTCCGTGCTTGCTGTCCTTTGGATTGCCCCAGTTCTCCCTAGGCCACGCTTAATAGCCACCTCCTGGCGGGTGAAAGAGTTCTGGAGGGTTCGAGATATTCTGTTTCTTAAGTTGCGTGTGAAGGCTGCCGCCTTGCAGGCTGTCCCGACAAAGTGGCTGGGGGTCGGGTTGCTCGGGCTGCTTGCACCTGGTGGGTTGGCCGTGACCGTCAAAGTGTCGTTTTTTTGTGAGGTTTGGAGGGGGCTGTCATTTTTTTGTCATTTCCGCAGGCGGGGGCGGGGCCAGGGTGGATCACTCCAAAATGACAAAAAATGACAAAACCCTAGGGTTTTGTCATTTTTTTGTCATTTTGGAGTCATTTTTGGCGGGGCCAGGGTGGAGTCACTCCAAAATGGCAAAAAATGACAAAACCCTAGGGTTTTGTCATTTTTTTGTCATTTTGGATTCATTTTTTTGTCATTTTGGTTTGTCATTTTGCAGTCATTTTTTTGTCATTTCGGAGTCATGTTTTTGTCATTTTTTGTCATTCCCGGTGACAGGTGTCATTGGAGGAGTCATTCTGCCGTCATCTCTGGAAGTCGCTGCTGCCCTGGGTGGGGGTGGATGCGAGGTACTTGTCTCATGCGGTCCAGGCCAAGAGTCCAGAAGAGGGTGTGGGGGCAGACACGATTGGGGTGGGATACATCGAGAAATTCTAAGTTCTGCTTCTTCGGGGGTGCATCCAGAAATTCTACGTCTTGCGCGGATGCGCAACGCAAGCACGGTTTCCAACCCCCCCATTCTGGGCTCGAGAAGGGGGGTTGGAAACCGCCCTTTTCGGCTCGAGAATGGGGGCAAATGACCACACAAATCCTTCATGTCACAACCTGGCCGTGCCGTGCCTCAGGTCAGCTGATGTGTCGAGAACAAGCAAAAAATCAGCAGAACTTACAGCAGCATGCGAAGTGTCCCAATAGCAGGGACATGACGAAAGAATAAGCAACCAATGAAAAAAAGACATCGACGAAGCAAAAGCAACAACAAATAAACGACAAGGAAATGCCACACAAATGACATTTGTCAAGCATGCCTTGCCACAAAATGACAACACGGAATGACAATAAAATGACTCCCAAATGACTCCTAAATGACAAAATAAATGATCATAAGATTCCAGAGTCTGCCTCCCAAAGATTCTTATAAGGATAGCTCAAACAGCTTGTTTGGGGGCTTGGAACGACACAGCAAGTAGTGTTGAAATCACCACTTTGGAGGATTAAAACGTGAAGCGGTTTTGGGGCCAATGAGGTTTCAAGTTTAATATCGGGGAAGGGTTTAGGCCTAGACCAAGTCTTGCCCCCTTTAAAAGTAGTCTTCGAAGCACTTTTTGAAATTATAGATCCCCAGACGATGTTGCCTTTAATCGTGGGGGTTTTCTGCAAAAAACGATCCTTATTTGGGTGCTGCCTTTAAAGTAGTACAGATTGGGGCCGGAGCCGCCCGCAGGCCGCCTTTAATCGTAGGGGGATTATTAATCCTAGGTCAACATTAGTTAGCACATGTTTCACTGTCATCTGATGAAGTGGTAATATTCCACATCACAACCGAAGCATCGGAGCTCAAACCTGAGCGACAAAATTTGTTGGGCGAGGGGCCTGACTTCTTTCTAGAAGAAGGGTGCGACGTTTCCAAGCGAAAGGCACGACTGCTGCGGCCGAATGCCAAGCAGGGACAAGCTCCGGAGGGACAAGAGGTCTTAGGGAAGCACGAGCGCGCACTCAGCAGTTTTGACAGAAAGCGGTGATTTCCGCACATGTGCCGCTTTGGCACATGTGAAAAGTTTCCCACGGCATGTGAATGTGACAATGTGAGCTACAGCTATAGTCTAAACTAAACTCTTATTGTCCCTCTTAGTTAGTCTAAACTAAACCCCTGTTGTTTCTCTTAGTATTACTATCCCCTGTCGTAGTCCAACCATATAATCCTATTATAGCCCCCCAAGATTAAACTAGAGCTCATGTCTGTGACAATGACAATGAGCTACTGCCGTGGTGAAAACAAAAGGACCGGCTCGGCCCGATTCTCTGTCTTTGACAGCCAGCAGCCAGCATTCCGGGCCCCCAACAGGAGGGGCGATTTCAGGGCCAGGTTTTCTGGCCTCAAATGACTCTGTCCGCTGCATAGACGCATGGCACAAGCTGGCTGACAGTCTGTGGCAGTGTATGCCGGGGCGACAAAGAACTCCAGTGAGCCGGCGACCACTGGTGTACCGCACCGATAAGCCTTTCCAGGTCATTGAGGATTCTAATGAAGTGGTGGAAGTGTTCATCCCGTCCAGTGTTGTGCAGCCACAACAAAAACGCCTCTGAGCATGCTCCAGATGCATCATGCTTGACCATCGAGTAGCCAAGGCTGCAGCAGTCCGACTTGAGGATGAAGGAAAGTGCTTGGGTCATCACCCAGTTGCCCTTTCGCACAAATTCGTTGCCAGGCACATGAAACTCATCGTGGAGCTTCCGCTCATAGAGGTTCTCCTTGAAGTCCACAAAAAGCTGGCCCAGCTCGGAACATAACACGTCGTCCTCCCACTCCATCAAACATTCCAGAATGCTCAAGACCTGAAGGAAAGGATTCGCCATGGCTGCACAGGAGATAGATAAACCCTGAACCCTCAGTGTGTTGACGCCCTAAACCTCGATGACCCTTGAAGCTCGCAGAGTTTGCAGCCTCCAAGTATGCCCCAAGCCCTAACACAGTTCACGGTATCTTACACCTCAAAGTCTCAAAGTTCAAAGTATGGCCCTAAACCGTGATAGCCTGATAGTGCAGACTAGTCAAAGCGACGAGGCCCGGTACTTCCAGGGACAATGACAAAACAGCTGCAGGCAGAAGCACAAGAATTGGGCGCGTTCCATGAACAGCGTGAAAGCTGTATAGAGAAGCGAAGGAACACGGAAGTAGGAGCCTCGGGCGCCGTCGGGGGTTCCCAGATGCTACCTTGCCGGTTGTGGGTTCCTCGCCCCGAGGCCTTTAAGTTTCAGGGTTGCAGCCTCCCCGAAAGCCGAAGCCATCTCTCCTTCCTTTACCCCCCTTAGGATCCTTCCCCACCTCGTATCCCCAAACCACGCCTGCCGAATCCATTTTTCCCCCACGGTGTCCCTTCGCCGCCAGGCTCCGTTTGCCGATGCCAATGGTGCTGTCGGGGCCCTGGAATGCCTGGGTTCAAGGGTTTGGGGCCTGACTTCTTTCTAGAAGGCCCAAACCTCCTACTTCCCTTTTCCTTCGCTTCTCTACAGCTTTCGCACTGTTCATGGAACGCGCCCAATTCTTGTGCTTCTGCCTGCAGCTGTTTTGTTGTCCCTGGAAGTACCGGGCCTCGTCGCTTTGACTAGTCTGCACTATCAGGCTATCACGGTTTAGGGCCATACTTTGAACTTTGAGACTTTGAGGTGTAAGATACCGTGAACTGTGTTAGGGCTTGGGGCATACTTGGAGGCTGCAAACTCTGCGAGCTTCAAGGGTCATCGAGGTTTAGGTTTAGGGCGTCAACACACTGAGGGTTCAGCTATCTCCTGTGCAGCCATGGCGAATCCTTTCCTTCAGGTCTTGAGCATTCTGGAATGTTTGATGGAGTGGGGCTATAATAGGATTATATGGTTGGACTACGACAGGGGATAGTAATACTAAGAGAAACAACAGGGGTTTAGTTTAGACTAACTAAGAGGGACAATAAGAGTTTAGTTTAGACTATAGCTGTAGCTCACATTGTCACATGCCGTGGGAAACTTTTCACATGTGCCAAAGCGGCACATGTGCGGAAATCACCGCTTTCTGTCAAAACTGCTGAGTGCGCGCTCGTGCTTCCCTAAGACCTCTTGTCCCTCCGGAGCTTGTCCCACCTCGTATCCGCAAACCACGCCTGCCGAATCCATTTTTCCCCCACGGTGTCCCTTCGCCGCCAGGCTCCGTTTGCCGATGCCAATGGTGCTGTCGGGCCCCTGGAATGCCTGGGTTCAAGGGTTTGGGGGCTGTTGAGCACGGAGGCCATTAGGTCTGATGGAGAAGGTTATGTGGTCTGCCCACTTTGATTGTTCACTCCTCGGCGAGGCTTCTTCGGATGTGCCTGTGGCCTGGGCCTTGGGCAACCTCGCGTCGGGTGGATCCCCAGAGGCCGCGCAGCTGTGTAGCCAATTTCTTATAGAGTTCAAGGGTCAGTCTGGGCTGTAGACGCAGGGTTGTGGGCTGTGCAGCCAGTTTCTTAGAGTCTTGCAGTTCAAGGGTCAGTCATGGGCCGGAGCCCTTACTAAGTCACTAGGATCCGTGGGCTGTGCAGCCCCTTAATGACGGGGGTTTGGGCTGTGCAGGCCTTGCAGATACAGGGTCGTGGGCTGTGTAGCCCGTTTCTTAAGTCACTAGGATCCGTGGGCTGTACAGTCCCGTAATGACGGGGTTTGGGCCGTGCAGGCCTTACGGATACAGGGTCGTGGGCTGTGGTCACTAGGATCCGTGGGCTGTACAGTCCCGTAATGACGGGGTTTGGGCCGTGCAGGCCTTACGGATACAGGGTCGTGGGCTGTGTAGCCCGTTTCTTAAGCCACTAGGATCCGTGGGCTGTACAGTCCCGTAATGACGGGGTTTGGGCCGTGCAGGCCTTACGGATACAGGGTCGTGGGCTGTGTAGCCCGTTTCTTAAGTCACTAGGATCCGTGGGCTGTACAGCCTTAATGACGGGGGTTTGGGCTGTGCAGGCCTTACAGATACAGGGTGGTGGGCTGTGTAGCCAGTTTCTTAAGTCACTAGGATCCGTGGCTGTACAGCCCCGTAATGACGGGGTTTGGGCTGTGCAGGCCTTACGGATACAGGGTCGTGGGCTGTGTGTAGCCAGTTTGAGAAGTCACTAGGATCCGTGGGCTGTATAGCCCCTTAATGACGGGGGTTTGGGCTGCGCAGGCCTTAGATACAGACAGGGTTGCGGGCTGTGTAGCCAGTTTTGGGCTGTATCGGCGGCATCTGTATATGATAGTCTAGTCTAGGTCAGTCGTGTCTGTGTGTCGGCTGTTCTCTCTTGTGCCGTGTGGTTGGATTGTCTGCTCCACTTATCCCTGGCCTTCGGTTGCCAGTCTCGGACAGAGCGCATGTGCATGCAGCAGCCATTGCTGTCCGCCCAGGTCCCATCCTCACGAAGCGGTAGGGTCCCCAGGCACACCTGGTCGAGTCATCGCGGGTGAGAGTGTGTACCTCCTCCAGCACCTCCCCAACATCCGATCCACCCCCCTGCTGCCTGTTGCCTTTGCGTCGCCTTCCGTGGTCGCAGTTTTGGCTTTTCCGGTCGTGCTCGAGGTTTCATCGTCATGGAGCCGGCTCCGAAGCTCCGAAGGAGGCTGCTGGCCGAGAGCTCGGACTGCAGCCTCGCCTTGTGCCGTCTCGCCCGCTTCAGCTTTAGCTCCAGCTCCCAAACACCCCCCCAACTGGACTATCACCTCACAGGCAAGTTGAAGTTCTGCATCGAACGCTCTGAAATTAATCCTACCTTCAGAGAACCCTACAGTAGCCCCACAGACCCTTATCCAGTGGTGTCCTTTACCTTACCCTAAGCTACAGACTCCTGCTTTAACCCCCTGCATAAAGCGTGGGCTTTGTATTGTATACAGTACGACTGTGCGATATAGCCGTATAGCCCGAAAAGTCCTAAGCCTTGCTGTCAGGCCAGTGGCAGATGAGTCTTCTCCGAAGCGCGGGCATGGAACTCAGCCAGCGCAGTCTTTCCTGCTGTGGGAGCGTTTTGCGCAGAAGGGGTTTCACTGGGCGCGCAGGTAGACCGTTTGCCGTTTGCCTGGGATGTGATTTCCCAACAACCGCAGCCCTAGGATCACCGCTTTCTCGCCCCTCCCCACCCAAGGATGAAAGTAACCCCGAACCAAAAAGGCCGCACAGAAAACCCGCCGAAGCAGGAAACACCGACAAATCTGCAATGCACAACACTTTCGCATGGCAACTGCAAGGATCCACGCATGCTTGAGAGTTCACTGGGCGCCTGTAGGCAACACAGACCTCGTGATAATCGTGACACGAAGCAGCCAGTCAGTCCAAAATACCAAAAGCGAGGTCGGGTGCGACCTACAACATGAGGTACGGTTTGTTAGTGCGCACCTGGCACCTTGGCAGCGCCGCATGGGCATCGAAGTGATCCGGATCTGTTGGATGGTGTCGAGGACTTTGCAACTTGCTGGTTGAGTAAGTCCTTATAGATTTAAATCAGAGCCACTCGAGCCGGGAGGAATCACTTCACCGACGGCCAGACGGATGGCAGAGCACAGGTCTTGGGTAGCAGCATGTGACGAACTGTTAATTTTGCGGTTTACACTGGTCTCATGCTGTTGCAAGCTAGACCGGCAGGACAGATGCGGACATGGGCAGCGGCATTGAAGATGCTCTGGATCTTTTGGATGGCATCGAGGACTTTGCAACTTTCCTGACTTTGCTCGTTGCAAGGCCGAGTGAGACCTCAAATCAGAGCCACTTGAGTTGCGGGGAACATCACTTGACCGACGGCTTCTTGGGTCGCCAAGCACAGGTCTTGGGTAAGCAGTACTTAGACTTACCAGTATGTGATGATTTGCTATCCATTTTTGCCGTTTACAGTTGCCTCATACTCATACTGTTCAAAGATGGACTGGCAGGACAGGGATGCGGACATGGGCAGCGGCATTGAAGATGCTCTGGATCTTTTGGATGGCGTCGAGGACTTTGCAACTTTCCTGACTTTGCTCGTTGCAAGGCCGAGTGAGACCTCAAATCAGAGCCACTTGAGTCGCGGGGAACATCACTTCACTGACGGGTTACAGTTGCCTCATACTGTTCAAAGATGGACTGGCAGGACAGGGATGCGGACATGGGCATGGGCATTGAAGATGCTCTGGATCTTTTGGCTGGCGTCGAGGACTTTGCTTGTAATTGTAGTTGCAGGGGCCAGTGACGGCTGGTGAGCTGCTGATCAGTGCTTCCTCAAACCAGCATCCTATAAGAGGCGCAGACCAGCAGGACAGGGCTGGTGTAGTAGCTATATTTGTAATGATGTGTCATCATCTTGACTTGACAGTTTACACTTGGTTCATGCTGTTGCAAGCTGGACAGCCAGGAGAAGGTGTTGGGCGTGGGCGTTGAGGATGCTCCTGATTTGTTGGAGGACCTCGAGGACTTTGGGTGCAATATCCATGCCCAGCGAATCGTCACGTCAGCATCATGCAACTGAGTCGAGAGGAACATGGCCCATGGCCTGTCCGACCGTTGGTTGTTTCAAGCTGGGCACCAGGACAGAGCCATTGACAGCGAGGATGATGCAGATCGTTTGGAGGATTTGGGGGACGTTGCTGGAAGTCTAGTGAGTCTTGTTAGTGGCTCGTGGTTTGAACCATTTCGTCGAGAGGAGATGTGTGAGCAACTCGACAATGGCGACGTTGCAGCCGCAGCCCCGACCTCATCATTGCATTCGAGAATCTTTCCATACTATGTATGTGCAGTGCTAGCAGCAGTCTCTTAGGCCCGCGACACAGTTGGAGCAGCTGGGGGCTCACGGCCGCAAAAGGCGTCGGGCTTGGAATGCGTTCAAGACTTTAAGACATGTGGTTTGATTCTAGTCACCAAACTGTGTGGGTGTGTTGCTACGATTCTATACACGCAACTTTGCCGACTTTGCCCTGGAGGTTTCAGTCTTCGGGTCTGGCAAGGCAAGCGCTCGTTCTTACGAACAGTTGTGCCTGCTGGCTGCAACTGGCAGGGAGGCGAGACAAAAAAAACGGTCGCACCAACTGCTTCAAGAACAAGGAGATGCCGTGAACAAACTTGCGATTGAAGTGAACCAGTCAGTTGTGACATTGGGTTCCAGCGTTCCGAGAATCAAGGCGGTCCAGCTGAGAGGCAAGCAGAGGTTTACCCTTTGCACTGCCAAAACTGCGAAATTCGTGGGGGCTCGGCGGGACAGATACAAACTCACCGTGAATGAGATGTGTCAAGTCGCCTTCGATAAACGCACCAATAGGGCGGCCCAGGCAGATAGCCTCAATTGCAGCCACAGGACCGTGCGGCGTGCGTTGATGGCAGTGAGCTATACTTTGATGGAGAAACAGTTGGCGCAGCTGCATGAATTCAAGGCCTTCATCACCAGTAAACGACCTGACATTGCTGCAGCTTGCTTGATGTTTGACGAGACTTCACAGGTACTTTCTTTGGCAGCAGTTCCTGAGACAACGAAGCAACAACAGCGATCCTCATGGAGCGTATTGGTTGGCCGCTTGCATTTCGCAGTGGGCTTTTTGAGAAGCCCTGGCCTGAAATTATACAAAGAGGTGGTATTCCCGCCAGTACCATTGGTCACGAATTCCGCTGCGGCAATCAATGCTGGCCTCTTCCAACATCCGCTCTCCGGACCTATTCTCACCGTGGTTCGAGACATCGTGGCATCTGCGAGAATGTCATGCTTTATGCTAGAAACCGACGGCCATTTGGCAAATGAGAAAATCTTCGCCCACCGCTACAACATGCACAGAGAGCAGCAACTGCTACAGCCTGGACCACCCTTGGACCCGAAAAAAGGTGACTTTCCGCAATGCATGGAACATGTTCTGTGTGGAAACCATCAGATTAATTTGGTGGTGACAGCTGCCGTGGAAGCAGTTCCCAAATCGGAAGAGACCGGCGGAAAGATTATCCCAAATCTTTACGCTGGATCCCTATTTTTGCGAATGGCGTCTCACTTCTTGATTCTTGATGCAGGGACTCTGTTAGCAACTGTTGCAGCTAGCTGCTAGCTAGCTAGTTACTGCTAGTAACTAGTAACTAGTAGGTTAGCTTTATTGGCAGCTACACTCACACAACGAGACAAACAGATATCCAGATGACTCTTGCGTTTCTAGAAGTCTAGTTCCGGAACCTACGGATCGAGTTGTCGGCTCCTAGAGTCCTAGAGTCCTAGATTCCTAGATCCTAGATTCTAGATTCTAGATTCTAGATTCTAGATATTGATAGGTTTCATGGATCCATCCTGGGTTCTCTCCTGGGCCCAGGCTAGTGAGCCTGGAGCCGAAGGCCTGTAGACCTTTGCCTTTGCGCTTGTGAGCCGAGGAACCTCGTGGGTGCCCTCCGGGTGCACATGCAAGATCCCGGCTTCTTTCGGTGGAACCAAAATCCATCGGCGCAAGACTTAGCCAAGGGGCGCGCATACCGCGAAGAAATCTGCAACATGCTGAAGGCAAACCTGCCACACGACGGCCGCGAGATGTCTCCAGGATCATCAAGTCACAACAAGCAGAAGCTCGAAGCATTGTATGACAACTGTTTCAAGGACGTGCTGAACGGTTGCTGGGATCGCGGTGTTTTGGTGCATAATTGCATCAATTCTTGTTGCGCCACGAGGCAACAAGCTGAGGAGAAAGCCGTGCGAGCAGCCACAGAGGTCCTGTTTAAGAGCCAGCCAGTTCTTCCTTTACTGGCCGACTGGACCAAGCTCAGTCCATGCCTGGATGCTTTCCTCGCCATGGAGTATTGCGGAGTCCTGAGTTTCCTGCTTGGGAAGGCTGTGTGGGCCCACAGCCTTCCACAGACTGCCGAAGACGATGAAGCCGACATCAAAGTTGAGTGGAGAGCTCTTGCTGGACGGCGATACCGTCGGGTATGCAGAATGCTGCAATGCAGCAAGCCACCCTTCAATCGTGATTGACAGGGTTTTATTTCCAAATTTTGTTTGAAAGGAAAAACGAGAGTTTTTCCTTTTGTTTCCCCCCCTTCTCTTGCAACCTGTGTTTTGAAACCAACACTTTTACGCATGCTTGTTGCGACAACATCACTTCAACATGTTATGATGATGGCAACTTGCAGCTTTTCCGAATCAAGTCGGAAAAATTTTTGTCTGAGCCTCGAGATCCTTCTGCTGTGGTGCCGCACACCGTTGCCAGGGTTCCCCCGACGGAATAGTGGCTTGAGGGCTTGCTCTCGCTGCAAGGGGAGTGAGCACTGGTAGGTGTGGCAGGCCACCCGGTAGACACGTCTAGGATCTTTCTAAAAGGCCCTGGGTGCTAATCTGGTGCTTCTAGCGAGTGGGGCGGGTCGCTGCATGGACTACGAGGGCAGTGAGTCCTCCGCGTCTTTGGCAAGTACCTCAGCGAGCTCTCACTTCAGCGATCTTAGTTTTGATTGCGTTTTTGCATCGGGAGCCGTGTGCAAAGTGCGAGTGACGATTACGCTGTGGAACTTCCTTGATCCTGCTGCTAGATCAGCTCTGCTGGCTTCGAGTGCTTCCACTCGCAGCGATTTCTTGCAGGAAATCCTCTTCGTTGCAATTAGGGCTGGTCTGCAGCCCCTGCCGTGAGCACGGCCTCGCTTCAGGGCCTTGGCTCGTGGGGTCTCTTCGATGGCTGCTGAAGCTTCGGCCTCCGATCTATGTGATCGTTTCGAGCAACACCTCCAGCACTTGACTCATGATGTTGTGGCCCCACTCAGCTATCCGTGGGACAGGAATAAGGCCTTGTCTGCCATTTTCTCAGGAAAACCAGGCAGAAGCGTCGACCTTCATAGCGTCAAGGTGCCAAGAGTCGTGCCGCCGCCAGCCACGCAGTACAGGCGGCCGGGTGATTCAGACGAGCCGCTGCCGGTGGCTCTGCAGTGTACCAAGGTTGTGCCCGTCTTTGAGGCTGTGCTTAAGAAGCCCAGGCTACAGGCAGGCGAGAAGGCCGGTGTCGATCGAGAAAATGTCCTACGTCGGTGGCTCTGTGTTCTGAGTCACTCACCTGGTGCCTCGAGGTTGGGGGTTCTCATTTGGGCGAAAGGCGAATCTGACCCCTTGGGGGTCGTGGCGCAGGCCTTGGCTGGGAAAGCAACATCGACTTTGCTTAAGCGAGCCCGATTTTCTGCACGATTCATTTGTTGGGCCGACAAGCATCATGTGAAGGCTTTCCCGGTGAGCCTCGATTTTCTTGTGAGCTTCCTCAAACCACTTGCAGCCGAAGCCAGGAACAGTGCCATTCGTGAGGCTATGGAAACTGTGAATTTCCTGGAACATGTTCTCGGAATTGAGGTCGAACAAGGAATCAGTGACAACCCTTGGGTCAAGGGTGCGCTGCGGGGAGCCAACATTCGCACCTGTGACCCGAGACGTTCGAGAGTCCTGAAGGTCGAGGAGGTGCTCCTCCTCGAAGGAGCGCTGATAGAGGGAGCCCTTGACAAGGTGGACAGGTACGCTACAGGGGTCTTCTTGTTCCAGCTTTACTCCAGGGCTCGAGTGTCCGATCTGAGGAACATTTCGAAGCTTGAGCTTGACCTTGATGGCGATACGGGTTTCATCGAGGTCAGAACTTATGAGCACAAGAATTGCCGGTTGAGCAGTGGACCGGGGGCCGTGCTCATTTTGGTTGCGCCGTACCATGGGCTCCACCAGAAGCCTTGGGGCGCCGCTTGGGCAGAGGCGGCGAAGGCCGTTGGCTTCGACTTCGAGAAGGGGCATCGCGGGCCGTTGCTCCCCCGCCTGGCCTGCGATTACTCTTGGAGCGGGGATGCCATCGATGCCAACGAGACCACTACATGGATCAGGGCGCTGCTTTCACGGCTGCAAGCGGCCGAAGAAGATCTTACATTCTCCTCGCACGGCTTGAAGGCAACGCCGCTTTCTTGGACCTCGAAGGCTGGATACAGTGAGAGGACGCAACTTGTCCTGGGACACCACAGCTTAGGTCCAAGTGGGAAAACGCAAGAAGCTTACGCTCGCGAAGTGCAGGCGCAGCCGCTACGAGATCTTGCAGAATGTCTTGGTGCCATCCGGCAGGGGGTTTTCCATCCGGATCGCACGAAGAGCGGGATGATTGCAGGAGGTGCGACCATCCGTGAGTCGCGTTTCTCTTTGGCACCCTTGGGGCGTGCCAATCTTTCGCCATCTCACGAGAGCTTCGAGTGCGCTCCCGAGGTTGAGCTGGCCGAGGATGGAGGCGTAGAACCTCCTGATGATCAGGACCTGGGTGAACAAGAAGACGTTCACGAAGCCTCGAGCAGCGAGTCTGAGAGTTCCGGTGAGTCCGAGGAGGAGACTCATTATGAGAGTTTTGGAGCAGGCGAAGCGCAGAATGCGATCCCGTCTGTGAACATGGGCCCTGATTTAGACATTTTTCAGAACCCGAAGACCAAGAGCCTTCACTCACGAGCGAAGGGTTCTACTGGCAAGTTGATCTGTGGAAGGTCGCTTGACAATATGAAGCCTTTCAGTGGAAAGGTCTTCAGCAGTAGATGGCTGTGCAAGCAATGCACAGCAGGCCGGCCCCTCCGCGACGCAGGGGCCATGGCGAGTTTCATCGCTAAGAAGCAGGGCGCTTCTAAGTGAGAAATGTCGTGTGACGTGCGATGCTTGCGGATCACCACTTCAGTGTATCGCTGAGCTTCACAGTCATGTCTGATGGACGAGTGGTCAATTGCGCACCGACCCAGAGCATGGTTCGGAGACTCGTCCGGGCAAACAAGGGTTTCAGTGGAACCTTTGGTTTACCTCGTGGCCGCCACGGGGTCCGGACGGGCGGACCAAGCTCGGCGATGCGATGATGACCAGCAGTGCGCTGTCCACATGCAAAGCTTGCAATCACTGTGTGCATGATTGGTCCTTTGCATGTGCGTGTCTCAAGACCAGTTTCTGTGAGTGCACATAGGATCGGAGATCATGGCGCAAACCCTTGTAGAGTCCAAGGCAGTCTTCCTGGAGCGAGCCAAACGTGTGGGCCTCCCTCAGGAAGCAGTGGATCGCCTTGTTGCACAGACCATCGACACGATGGCGAAGCTGGCGTTCGCCCCTTGCCAGCCCGGCGAGACGCCGACCGAGGAGTCGTTGTCGGCCCTCATCAAGGTGGGAGGTGCAGCCCCGCCGTTGGGATCCATCGCAGCGGTTCGCCACCTGGTGTTCGAGGCACAGACCCTCTTGGTCAGCCAGACCAAGGCACTCGTTGAGAACAAGGAGAACGAGGTCAAGGAGTTAGCCCCCGCGGAGCGCCGCGAGCGCATCCGAGCACAGGCCAACAAACTTAGAGGCATCACCATGTCTGGCCAGACTGAGTGCAGCTACGCCTCGTATGACCTCTGCATGAAGCTCCTTACTGATAACTGCATCAGCTACCTTTCCCCGGCCAAGTTCATCACTCGTGAAGCTGAGCTGCGTTCCGAGAAACCACGGAAGGAGTTGGATGTGCAGGCTTCAACACTGGTCGTGAGAGATCGTGACCCCGATCAGTCATGCGATACTTCCACTGCACTGAGCCTTCACCATGCCATGCACCGCCGAAGCCTTGCTCTTGACTTGATCGGTGTGACTGATTACTTTAGGATTCAGGGCTTCGTGGATTTCCTCTTGGGCCACCTTCATCAGGAGCCCATTGCTGGCAGCCGTGCCACTTCTGTGCAACAAATTCTGCATGCGGACCGTGCTGCCTGGATGCGCCTGGCAGAGCTTACCCCCGACGGGATTCGTCGAGATGCATCCGGGGCTTTGCCTCTTGACAGTTTGTGGGCCCGCTTGCAGACTGACCCGAAGGTGATTTTTCATCTCCTCCCGCGAGAAGGTGGTGCCCTCAAGCGGGAGAGCACCGAGCTCAAACTTGAGCCCACAGACACCCCGACCAAGAAGCAGCGCAAAGGTACAGGCAAGGGAAAAACCAAGACATTGCGCGAGCCTAGCAATCTTCCAGAAGAACTCAAGGGCCTTTCGTCTTGGACTAAGACCGGAAAGCGCCGCTGCTGGGGATTCAATATGGCTAGTGGGTGTCCAAATGCCAAGGTCGGCCAATCCTGCCCCAGGGGTCTGCACAACTGCATGCGTTGTGGCGGTCACCACCCCGCGCATGCGTGTCCAAAGAAGCCATGAAGCGCATGCCTGCCTGAGCCCGACAGCGTGCCAGCACTGTGTTTTCCATCGCCCAGTGTTTCATTGGATGCTTCACTGAGCGCCTCAACCCCGCAAGCATCGGCCGCTGCTTCCAGCAAATCGCATTGTTTTCCTTCTCGTCCTGCTGAGGCTGCGAGCCCTGTGGAGGGGCCGCTACTTGATGCCGGGCACTCTCTTTGCGGTGCTGATGCTTTCAGGATTGATTCCCTCTTCTGCATTGAAATTTTCTCAGGCTCAGGCAGGCTTACTGCCGAACTTCGACGTGCAGGGTTCCGAGATAGCATCGGAATCGACCATGTTGCCCCAAAGCAAATGATTTCTCCCGTCCTTAAGCTGGACCTCCTTGATCCCGAACATGTAAAGATGGTTCTTGATCTGATCGATTCTCCCTTTTGCCTTTATGTGCACATCGCTCCCCCTTGTGGAACGGCGAGTCGTGCTCGTGAAATTTTTCGTCGCGGTGAAAACCTACCCGCTCCCGCGAGAAGTGATGCCCACCCGGATGGGCTACCAGACCTCACTGGCGAGCTCCGCATTCGCGTTGCTAAGGCCAACGACCTTTATGCCGTCACTGGCAAGATCTTTGCACACTGCATCCGTTCTGGGAAGCTCGTCTCTTGCGAGAATCCAGGCCGCTCTTACTTCTGGCAAACGACCATGTGGCTCACTGCCGTTGCCGACCTGCAGTTTGAGGAAACCCTTTTTCATAACTGCCAACACGGCGGTGAGCGTGCCAAGCTCACCCGCCTAGCCCATAATGTCCCTTTGCTACACGAGCTATCCCTTCTCTGCCCGGGGGAATCAACATCTCATCGCCGCCTGCCCTGGTCGCGATCCTCAGGTGCCTTCGACACAGCCGCCGAGAAGGTCTACCCTCGTGTGCTCTGCCAACGTTTGGCCGACATCATTGTCCGTGCTGCCGCCGAACGTGGCCACCCTGCACCCGCTTCATACCTAGCGCCTGGTGCTGCCCTTCCCCTGCGTGAGTCTCAGGTTGCAGCTGGTGTGCAACCTCGCAGCAAGCGCGTGCCACCCCTTATGCCCGAGTTTCGGCAGATTGTGGTTCTTCTTAGTCCTGAACCCCTTTTTCCCGGCGTGCGTAAGTTGGAAGCCGATACCCCCCTTCCACCTTGTGTCTCATGCTCGCCCTCACTGCCGACGCTTCCCGCGGGCACTCGGATCCTGCGCCAGAGTGTCATTGGGGTTGTGCCAGCTGGAGCGCAGGAATCGTGCTCAAGTAACTCAGCCGCCTCATCCACACCTGTGTCGCATCCCACAGTTGCCCCTAATGCCGAGGCGGAGGATGATGGAAACTCAGCCATCATGGAGGACGACCAGATGGACCCCGAAGCTTTCTCGCATTATGCTCTCCACTTGGGAGCGTCAGCCAGCAACGAAGCATGGCGCGACTGCATTTGCCACTTGTGTGAGCTACTTGTCTCGGATACCCCGTCTAGGGGCGGACGAGGCACTGATGAATTCTCCTGGTCATGTGGTGCCTTCTTTCATGCAAACAAGGTGGGCCTGCGTTCCAACACCTCATCGCACCCCAGTGTGAGCAAACTCTTGTGCGAGTATGTGCGCCGGGTTGCCCCGGGCCATCCTTTCACTTCCCTGATGCTGGGCAAGAACCTCGCAGGCAAGGTGCATACCGATAGAAACAACGAGCCAGGACTACCGAATGCGGTCTTGAAGATTTCCTCCTTCGAGCAAGGGGGAGTGTGGATCGAATCACCTAGTGGCTCCGTCGCTTGTCCTGATCCTGGCCACCCCGAGCTTTTGGGAAATGTTCTTGACTTCGAGGGCCGACGAATAATCTTTGATCCGAGTGGTAGGCACTGTCAAGCTCCATGGTTTGGGGGACCCAGGATCACGCTTGTTGCCTATGCGATACGCGATCACCACAAACTTCTTGACGATCAGAAGAGAAAGCTTGAAGACCTTGGTTTCGGCCTCCCTGGAAGCTCCCCAGAGTGCTGCCCAACGGCCGGTCCCGAGGCAGCCACCCGTAAGTCTGGTTTAGGCCCCAGCTCCTTGACTAAGCCACCACCTGGGATCCCGTCGTGCAGCAAGCCAGAAGGTGGCCGTATGCACAAGGTGGCCGTAGGCATCCCTTGGAAACCTCAGGAGTTCATTGAGCAAGCACTGAAAGCTGGGCACCCCCGTCACCTCTTGGACGGTGTGCCATCACATTCCAAGGCGGCCATCGACCGTCTTGCTGACATGTCGCTTCATGAGATAGGAGCCCAACGCACCGAGAGGCTCCGGCATTGGATCAGCAAGGCCCGTGAGCTGGAGGCCGAGGAAGAGGAGTTGCGTGACTCAATGCCGCAACATTGCAAACGTGTCCTGGGGCGGAAGCGGCTGGTCCTTTTTAGGACCATGCTCGAGGAGTGTGGCCACGAGGACCTAGAGATAGCGAATGACATCGCCAAGGGTTTTGACCTCAGTGGTGCGATCCCGAGGAATCCTGCATATCGCCCCAAGCTGTCACCTGCTTCCTTATCCGTATCTGATCTCCGGAGCTCTGCGGCTGTGATGAGGGAAGCAACTCTTCTCGCCACCAAAAGTTCCGGGGACCCCGAACTTGATGAGGCCCTCATGGCGGCCACTGACAAGGAGGTCGCCAAGGGGTGGTTACGAGGACCCATCGATCCTGCTTCGCTAGGTCCTAATGCTGTCCTCTCGCGCCGCTTCGGCGTTTGGCAGGGCGGCAAGTGTAGGCCTATAGATGACTTCAAGGCCTCTGGGGTTAACTCAACGACTTCAGCCGAAGACTCGGTGACTGTGCACACGGCGGATGCAATCGCCGCTTCCATTGCCTACCGTCTCAAGCGCGACCCAAAGTGCCGACGGCACGGCGGGCTCGAGATGAAATCTTATGACTTACACAAGGCGTATAAGAATCTTCCTTTGAGCACTTCGGCGGTGGAGGAAGCTTATCTCTCGGTGTACAACCCCCGGTCGGGGAAAGCGGAGATCTACGAGCAGTGCGTGTTGCCCTTCGGCGCTCGTGCGTCGGTCCACTCGTTCTGCAGAACTTCACTTGGCATCTGGACGATTGGGGCGATTCAGCTGGCTTTGATGTGGTCAGTGTATTACGACGACTTTGTCGGCAACGAAGTCCCGCCACTTACACGGCTCTTCGACCTTTGTGCTGAATCGCTCTTTCAGATCCTTGGCTGGGACACGTCTCCAGACAAGCCTACCATCTTCGGAGGCGTGGCAAAAGTCTTAGGCCTGGAGTTTGACTTGCGCGAATCCTACCTCGGCAACTTCTACATGAGGAATACGACGACTCGACGCGAGGAGCTGAGAGAAAGTCTTTCTTCTATCATCGAAAAAGGAGTGCTGGCTAGGAAAGACTGCGAGAGGCTGAGGGGCCGCCTGCAGTTTGCCGCCAACCAGATCGCGGGAAAGAAAGCTGGCATCGCATTCAAGACCCTGTCCAAACATCTTGCAGAGCGAAGCCCCAACATCGGAGACAACTTGAGGGCTGCACTTCTGTTCCTGAGGGACAGTTTTCTTGAAGGGCCTCCGAGGGCTCTGAGTGCCAACGTCTTGCATCTTTGGCATGTGTATGTGGATGCTTCTTGCGACAACGATCGCATCGGTCTCGGTGGAGTTCTCATATCGGACAATGGGACGAAAGTTGGACACTTCAGCGAGTGGGCTTCTTCTGAGCTGCGACATCTTGTTGGTCCCGAGAGCAAGAACCCAATCTTCGAATGCGAATGTTTGGCTGTACTTATGTGCATACACGTTTGGAGAGGACTCCTTAAAGGATGCAACCTCGTCGTCTTCTCGGACAATGAAGGCACTCGTGCCTGCATGATCAAAGGGGCATCCGACAACTCTGTCGGGATGCACATTGTGGATGCCACCCACGATGCCATCGATGCAGTGTGCTGCATACCATGGTTCGAAAGAGTCAATACCGCGTCTAACATCGCAGATGACCCTTCTCGTGGAATTTCAGATGAAAGCCTTGGTCGGCGATTCGAAGTGGATGCGCTGAGCATCGCAAAGTCTGCGTTGGTTCCGTGGGGATGAGTCAATCGCTGACTATCCGATGTGTGCATTGCGAATGCACTGTGCATGATGTACTTCTGTACATCATGCGGAGCATCATGGATGCTCGGGGGGACCATCTCACTTCGTCTCGACTTCTCGGAATTCCCCGAGCGACGGCTTTCGCCAGACTTTTAAAAAGAGTGTGTGCCGAGCGTCTTGTCAATCCTTTTTATATTCCATTGGCAACACATACATTGATTGAGATTCCGAATCTATTTTGTTTCGAATATATTTCGCTACAGAAATATATTATATCCTGGTGGGAACATACTGAAACAGAATTTGGAAATAAGCCACCCTTCAATCGTGATTGACAGGGTTTTATTTCCAAATTTTGTTTGAAAGGAAAAACGAGAGTTTTTCCTTTTGTTTCCCCCCCGTCTCTTGCAACCTGTGTTTTGAAACCAACACTTTTACGCATGCTTGTTGCGACAACATCACTTCAACATGTTATGATGATGGCAACTTGCAGCTTTTCCGAATCAAGTCGGAAAAATTTTTGTCCCGCCCGCCCTCCCCGGGGATGAGTCAATCGCTGACTATCCGATGTGTGCATTGCGAATGCACTGTGCATGATGTACTTCTGTACATCATGCGGAGCATCATGGATGCTCGGGGGGACCATCTCACTTCGTCTCGACTTCTCGGAATTCCCCGAGCGACGGCTTTCGCCAGACTTTTAAAAAGAGTGTGTGCCGAGCGTCTTGTCAATCCTTTTTATATTCCATTGGCAACACATACATTGATTGAGATTCCGAATCTATTTTGTTTCGAATATATTTCGCTACAGAAATATATTATATCCTGGTGGGAACATACTGAAACAGAATTTGGAAATAAAGAGCGCTTCCATCGCATGCTCCTTTCGATCACATTGGAGCCGCTTCGATTTCTTCATGCTAGTTTTCTGAAATTCGCGCATTGTGCCGTGGACGACAAAGCATGGCCTTTCATCATGTGCGAGCTGTGGGGCCCGACTTCCAAATATGTCGGAGCGTTACAGTATTTTGCGGTGCTCCTTTGCGGTCAGGGGACACGTCTCCTATTGCTGGCTGGGCTTTCAGACCACGAAACGGTCGACGCGTGGATTCGCGCATGTTTGGGCCTTAGTTGCCGCCTAGCAGGGCCCGTTTATCCACTTAAGTAAACTCGGTTATACATGTTGAGGTTGGGCCATACCATAGCGGTGTTATGCAATGGCGCTTTTTATTTTTATTTTTTTTTTGGGGGGGGTCCTGCAATGGTTGCCAATACTGGTTCAACAACATGTTGCCTTGGGCCTGGTGTTGAAAGGTGAGGTTCAAGGCCAAGATTTGCAGGCAGGGTCGAAGTCGAATGGGTTTTCAAATTTAAATTGTTACTTTACAGATTTCCGGCAGGTCCCGACGAAGCCCGAGCAGCAAGGAGTCGTTTCCTCATGGTGGCTGCTGCTTTGCATCGGCGGTATACTGCCACTATATGCCGTTGGCCCTGGCGCCTTTACAGCTTGGCCGATCCCAGGTGCGTGAGTACACACCCCTCACTCATCACCGAATTCTTCGACGCCAGGTCTTGCTGCCTGCCACCTGGCATGGCGCGCGAAATCCGCGCAAGCATGGACAAGTCCACCTTTGAGGCCAGCTTGCCTGGCTTCCGACGCTTTCCTGTCAAGTTTCATATTGTTGCAAATCATAGTATAGTGTTATACAGTTATACAGTTATACAGTTATACAGCTATACAGGCTATACTACTATACATCATCATGTCATTATGTTTGTATAAGTCATAAGCTATAAATATTAAGTGACTTATGACTTAAGTGCATAATCGTAACAGTCGTATCAGCACTTGCTATTGCAAGATTGCATTCTACACATCATGTGGGTTTGCAGTGGGTCTTGTCGTAGGTCTTACTCTAGCCTTCAATTTCAACTACAGGAGTGTTACTTTCAGTCCTCCTTGCATCACTACATTAATCATTAATCATTAATCGTTGATCATATATTTCCTGTCCTGACACATTTTTGGGAGCTGCAGTTGTCACGATTGCGAGGTTGGTTCTGCCTTCTCCATGGCTTGATCATCAAACTTACCACGGCAAATGTCGAAAGACGTCATGCGACTCATAAGAGTCAATGTGATGATCAGACGAAGTGGCCGTACTTTGCAGCGCAATCCATTGCAACAGAGGCCCGTCAACAAGTTTTGGCCGTGGAGCGCCTCGAGCGTTTGCGCGTGCTGAGAGCAGGCATACGACCCAAAACAATGTTTGAATGGTTGGTAACCTGGTAGTTAGGTTGGGTGTGACCTCCGGTGCTTCCCATTACTTTCCGAATTTCCGTGTCAGGTGAAGCCTCCAATGCAGGAGTTGCCAAAGTTGCTGCTCCCCGCCGTCCCAAAGCCAGCAGTGCGCTGGAGATATTCCGGAAGGAATGGCTGCTTTCTGAGAAGGCACGCGGCACAGTGTGGAATCCGATCTCGAAAGATGCTTGGAGCGCGTGTCGCAAGGCTTACGGTGCTCTGGATGCCAATCGCAAGTCTGAGCTGCAAGCCCGCGCTTTGGCATCCAAGACTCTGGCAGATGCCAAGCGTCGCAACACTGCACCGGTGCAGGATGCTACTGATACAAGCGCCAGTGCAGGTGACAGGTCTGACAATGCAGCTGCATCTGCATCCGACGGTGCTATGCCAGTGACTTCTGACTCGTTGGCCGACCTTATGGAAGGCGTCCAAGCTGCAGCCCGAGAAGGTGGGGTGGTAGCTGTTCGACACGGTCGTTCAAACCCACCGGTGCCGAAAGAGCCTGTGGCCTGCCAGAGCTTGCAACAGTCCGTGGTGCAGCAAGCCATGAGGCAAGGGCCTCCCACAGCTGAGGAGCAGTTTCCGATTTCACCTCACGTTGTGTCAGAGGTTTTCCATCAACGTGGGTTTAACTTGAAGCGGTATGTGGACAGCTTTCAGAAGAAGGCTACCCGGCTTGCGGCCGCGACAGGCATGCCAGATACGGTGCAGTATCCGCAATCGTGTGGTGCACTGTGCCGCACCAGCAACTCGCTGAACACAATCCAGTTTCATGACAAGCTGGTTGGTTTACTGCACCAGATCGTGAAGGAGCTTAGCCCAAACGTCCGAAGCATATATGACGAAAGTGTGATCTTTGCAGCAGAGCAGCATGTTGCTGCTGGACAAGGGCTTCCGAGCCGCATGAGCTTCTATGCAATCGCTGCAGCTGCAGGTAGGCAAGCTCATCACAAGGCACAGGTGACACTGGCACCGTTGGAGCTGCAACATGGTGTTTGCGCTCTCCGTTTGCACCTTTAAAACTGAAACCCTGAACCCAACAAAGCCGAAGGGTTCCCAACACCGGAACCCACAGTCACAAACCCTTAACTTAACCGTAACCTTCAAGCCGGCACCCAACAAAGCTGAAGCTTCCAAAACACGTATTAACCCTGAAACCCCAAACACGAAACCCTGAACCCCCAGAGCCCAAAGCCCGAATATGGGGGGGGGGCGTAAAACTACAACAAAGTTTTCGGATTTTGGGGTCTATTATACTAAACTCCCAATAACAAATACCAAAACTGTATTCAGCAAGCAGTAAGCCTGTAAGCCATAAGCCTATATCCCTATACTATACTGGTTGGACACACAGACCCAGACCAATGACCCTGATCGGCCCCTACCGGGCCCTACCGTTTGTCTGAAATATTGCACCACATTTGCCAAGGCTTCCACTGCGGAAGCTGTGGGGATGAGTCTGCAGCACAAACACGATGATTTCATCGCTCCGTGCACGTTGCGGCGTCCCCCCTTAAATCAGGCTGTCTCACTTGGACGGAATCAGAGCCAAATTCAGAATTTTGATTTTAGATTCTATTGGTTCTATCGGGTTGAACTGCACATTTAGAGCCTGAAGTTTTAGGGGTTCGGACTAGTTTGGTTCAGGACTAGGACTAGGAGTTTCCGACGGAGCTTTCGGCTTAGGGCTTAAGGCTTAAGGCTTTGGGCCTTCGGGCTTAGGATCTTGAGTCTTAAGTCTTGAGTCTTAAGTTTCGGTTCGGTTTCAGGGCGTGACATATTTGTCAAGTAGTCCTGTGCTTCAAGGTCTAGCCCAGGAGTTTTCTGTTTGCCAAGGATGCACATCATGACAGAAGACAGCTTTGCTGCGCAAATGTGCTTCGTGGGCGACTCTAAGGTCGAGCTTGTCCGTGTGTGCTTGTTGAAGTGGACCTTTGCGGGAAACCGACTTGATGTGTACCATGTGGACGCTTTGTCGACAACATACACTGCAGAAGCTGCAACATTGCCGGCGGATGGAGAAGCGAATCAGCAGGGCAGAGGCCGTGGTAGACGGCCGCCGCAAGATGGTGAGGCTTTCGACATGCTTGATGACCTGCTATCGCAGCAGGGAAAGAAGCCACGTGCCCGGCCAGGACCCCCAGCAGCGGTGGAAGCACGCGAAGAGTTTGATCCTTTGGAGGGCGGGTTGCAGGAAATGCGTCGTGACATTGCTGCCGACACTGTCGCGCAGCCTCGGGAAGAAGAATTGGAAGAGTTGCAGGAAGAAGTGGAAGAGTTGCAGGCCGAACCTGACGATGCGGAACATCGGGACCAAGGTGACCAAGGAGACCCAGGCCCTTCGCCGAGCGACGCGTCGAATGCAGGCGCGGTTGGAGCAGCCGGCAACATCAGTCCGGCAATCCCTCCTGCTTCGGGTTTCCTCGAGCTTCCCATATACGATACTGGGTGCTGGCATTTCCGGAGAAAGGCAGACGACGTTTCCATCGGGAGATTGAACCACATAGCCAGCATCTCCGAGCCTACATTCAAGGCAACGTGCAAGGTTCACAAATCATGCTTCTGCATGATTACGATGCCGCCATCGAATTCCCCCCGCGAAGCCACCGTTGCTGCAAGACTGGGCCGGCAAGCAACTGTTGACGACTTGGAACGCGATCTGGTTCGATGGCTCGCTCAAGCAGCAAGCGACATATCC